GGGCGCTGTCTGGGAAGCCGTGCCCGCGCGCGGGAAAATGGGCCGCCGGGGACCGTTACTCGCCGCCTCGTGTCCACGCGAGACCCCGGAAAGGGAGGGGAGGAGGGAGGCTCGGCCCCTCGGGGCGCAGGGTGCCCCGCGGGCTGCTCGGCCGGAGGAGGACGGAGGCGGCGCAGGGGAGCGGCGGGTGGGCAAAGGGGCACTGGCAGGAGCCGAGGCGCCTCGGGCTCCGGGCAAGAGGCCCGCGGAGCCAGCAGCTGCCCACGGCCGCCCGTGGGCACCTCTGGCCGTGGGGCTCACGGGGCTGGGCCGGGGGAGCCGCGCTTGGGCAGCGGTCCAGACCTGCCTAGGTGGAGGAGGGACGCGGCCACGCAGTCATTTCGGAACGCTCGCCAACCAGTGTCTGTAGGTTGACACACTGAGTCTTTTCAACTCGTCACTTGACCTGTGCCTGCTTTCTGTCATGGGAGGCCCAGCGTCGAAACGATCTGCACACGATGATCTAAGAGGAGGCTGCCTACACCTGGAATAAGGGTTTTGGGGGAAAAGATTGGATAAAAATGGCTTCTGAAAGAAAGGCCAGAATCAAATTGTCTTTTTTCAAGTCTTCATTGCTTTTTCTCCCCCCTCCCTTTTTTAAAAAAAATGTCATTTTATTGGGGGCTCGTACAGCTCATCACAATCCATCCATTCGTGTCAAGCACATTTGTACATATGTTACCATCATCCTTTTCAAAACACTTTCTACTTGAGCCCTTGGTATTGGCTCATTTCTCCCCCCTCCCTCATGAACCCTTGATAATGTATAAATTGTTTTTTCATAAGTCTTCATTTTTTAAAATTTGTGTCTTAAACACCCCCCCCCCAACGTTGGCAGTATATAACATTAATGTATATTATTCCTGAGGTAGGAAAAATGAAACCGCAGTCTGGTGGGAAAAAAAACTAACTGGGGTTTTTAAGGAGAAGTTTCCTGCAGTCTACCATCCCACATTCTCTGTACATTCCGAACCTGAAAACACAATTTTTTTTTTTCTGGAGAAGACCTGGTTAGTTTAATAAAAATGTGACCTCAGGGGATGGATTGTTTTGGTTCTAAATTTAAAGAGTGGCTCGGGGTGGTAGTCTCCCAGGAGTCCCAACCGGTCCTGTAAGTCTATGGGTTTTACAGGAATTTAAGGTTCTGTGCCCCATTTTCCTCTCACCCTGTCAAGACCCATCAACCTAGTCCTATTAGAACATTCTGTCTGGATCTTCGGGTCCCAAGAGGGGTGGGTGTGTCAGTCCTGCTTTTTTCTCCCAGTCTTTGATTTGTCTTCTGCCCCCTCCACCCCACTCCCCCCTAAAAAACCCCTCTAACTCACTGCCATTGAGTGGATGCCGACTCACAGCAATCCTGCAGGACAGGGGAGCGCAGCCCTGGTGAGTCTCCGGGGCTGTAGAAAGCCCCGTCTTGCTGCCGGTGGTTTACTACCAACCTTGCACATCGCAGGCCGGCACGGAACCACTGCACCACCGGGGCAGCAAGTCTTTTTGACTCTGGTTGAGTTAAAAACCCAAACCAAAAAAACCCATCGCCATCAAGTCGATTCGCCCCTACGGGAAAGAGTAGACCTGCCTCTTCCTGGCTCCTTAGAGACTTTACATCTTTAGGAGAGCAGAAATCATGCAGTAGTAGCTCATGACACCGCACTGGGGCTCCGGAAGAAGATTAAATGTATCTTTCCATTGGGTTTTTTTTTCCCCCTCCCAGTGGCGGGTTATTCGGAAGAAGGGAGAAAGACTGCCAGGCCTTTCTCCTGAAGCACCTCATTTAGAACGCAACCCGGTCAAGTTTTCCCCATTAGCTGCTGAGTGCCGCTCCCTGTTCTTGCCACGCAGCCCCCCCACCCCCCAAAAGAACTCTGGGCGGCGTCCAGCGTCCAGCAAATTCACCTGGCCGTGTGCTCCACTGCAGCTTGCTTTATGGACACAGATTCTTCGGATTTTCTGTCATTTTCCCAGGCCATAAAATATTCCTCTTTGGAATTCTTTTTTCAGTCCGTTAAAACTGTGAAGCCCTATTGTTAGCTCGTTAGAAAGCAGGCAGTAGGGGCTTAGCTGGGGGTCCAAACTAGGCACCATTTTGTAGATTCGGAAGCAAATTTAATGCCACCGTTTTCGATTTTTATTTCTCCTATTTAATGTGAAAATTCCTACTTTTGAGGTTGACAATTTAATGCATTTGATTTGGTAATATACGGTAACCCTGAAACTCACTGCCATTGAGTCAGTGCAGACTCAGTGACCCTATAGGGCAGAGTAGAATTGCCCCTGTGAGACTGTAATTATTAGTGGGAGCAGAGAGCCTCCGGTGTCTTTCTCTCATGAAGCTGTTTGAAACTGTTTCAAACTGCTGACCTTGTGGATATATATGGTAAGGAAATACAATGTATTTCTAGGTCCTTTCCCCTGAGAAAAACAAAAACAAAAAAAGGCACGCTAAAATGCCCATCCGCCCCCCCTCAAGTTCAGATTAGAGATTGTGGGTAGTCTTTCCAGTTTTGTCTTTGCTTTGTGTCCAGGGGGTCTTAATCCTATCCCACCACCCCCCTTCCTCTTGGGGTATAGTATCTTCCCTTCACCCTTTCATTTGCAAAGTGAGAAGAGTGATCAGATCCCAGACCCTTGGCAAATTTGCTAGACATTTTAACAAAGAGTAGAAGGAATTTGAAGCTCTGGAAATCAGTTCTTTTGAGACAATTTGTGGGGCAAACCCAACTTTGAGGCCTTGCGCTCCAGTGGTAGCCTTGAACAGTGTGCCCTGGGGTCCAAGAAAGTAGCACATTTTACTTATGGAAAGGTCTTAGCTTTGGGAGAGGCCTGTGGATTGAGGTTGACTAACTCTGAGGTAGTCCTTGGAAAATCTCATGAAGATTTTGGGCCCTGGTCGCCCCCTGGGCTGACCAGGGCTACCCAGTAATAGTTCTCCTGCCCCCTTGTTCCAGCCTGCAGTGTGTGTTGCAAGTCTTCTTGGAATCAGCTACAGGACCTGTGCCGCCTGGCCAAGCTTTCCTGCCCTTCCCTGGGCATCTCCAAAAGGAACCTCTGTGACTTTGAAGTAGAGTACTTGTGTGATTACAAGAAGATTCGCGTGAGTCTGTGACCTTGGTTGGGGGGGGGGTGTTTCAAGGGAGTTGACTCCCTGTCTTTTTGCCCCCTCTGCATCCCCCTACTCTCATTGACTAGAACTGTCTCCAAAAGAAAATGCCTCCTTTGATCATAAAGATATTTCCTCCTTGTTTTTTATAGATGAGGTGACTGGCCTTCTGAGGGGCAGAGTGAATTCCCAAATAAGTCTTTCTTCCTACCTCCCTAGGAAGACAAACCAAATTCAAAGATTGAGAACAGTTCGTAGATGCTGAGTCCAGGAATAGAGATGATGATGGGTAACAGGTACTAAGTACCACTTCCTACAAAAGCTTCTTGAATTCCCCCAACTGTGAAGTGGGAACTGTTATCCTTGCTAGAGGAAGTGTGGTAAGGAGAGTTAAAGAGAATTAAAGCCTCTGTGCTTGGGCTCAAATCCGACTGTGTAGCCTCAAGCTACTAACCCAAACTCTATTTTAATGACCACATCTATAAAATGGAGATGATGACAATAGTATCTAGCTTAGATAGGGTTGTGAGGGATAAATTAGTTAATACTGCACAGAAATTGCTTAGACTGAGACTTGCTACATAATGCTAGGGGGGGAAAATGTTAGCTATTTTCTTACAGATGAGGAAATTGGCCCATTAAATCTAAATGACTTGCTGAAGGCCACCGGCTAGGGAGTGGCAGATCCAGGGTATCTTAATTCTAGAGTCTGTGCCAGAGAGGGGGAGGGTGGAAGCTGAGGGACGGGAGGGGGGTGTGTGTCAGATAAGCAATGGTGGTGGTAGCAGGGATGATGGTTTGAAGTGGTTGGATGCTGGAGGCATCTTGAGGGTGGGGCCAGCAGGATTTGCTGAAGGTTATACGGGAAGTGTAAGAAAACAACAGGCCAATGTGGACTTCAATATTTTGAGCCTGAACAGCTACAAGGATGGAGCTGATGTTTCCTGAAATGGAGAGGAGGATAGTAGAGGGAACAAGTTTGGGAGTTCTGATTAAAACTGTAATTTGGGCAGGTAATGGGTGGGCAAGTGGGGCTTGAGTTTAGTAATCCTAGCCTGGAGTTCTGGTAGTGCAGTGGGTTAAGTGTTGGGCTGCAAATTGACAGGGTAGTGGCTCCACAAGAGAAGAAGGCGCAAAAGCGTCCGTTTGTTTTGTTTGTCCTTCTTCCAGAACTTAGGCTTTCTAACCATTGTGTGGAGTCATTTTAGAAACTAGGGTTGAGGGATGTGTGGGCATGATCCCTTTGCTTTGGGGTGGAAGTCTCACGAGGGCTGGTCCGAGGGTCTCACCATGTCCCCCTGGCGCCCTTGTCCCCCTGGCCACCAACAGGAACAGGAATATTACCTGGTGAAGTGGTATGGATACCCAGACTCAGAAAGCACTTGGGAGCCACGGCAGAATCTCAAGTGTGTGCGCATTCTCAAGCAGTTCCACAAGGACTTGGAGAGGGAGCTACTTCGGCGACACCAAAGGTCAAGGTCAAAGCCACCCCGGCATTTGGACCCAAGCTTGGCCAACTACTTGGTGCAGAAAGCCAAGCAGAGGCGGGCACTGAGACGATGGGAGCAGGAACTCAATGCCAAACGTAGCCACCTGGGACGCATCACTGTGGAGAATGAGGTGGACCTGGATGGGCCTCCACGGGCCTTTGTGTACATCAATGAGTACCGTGTTGGAGAGGGCATCACACTCAACCAGGTGGCAGTAGGCTGTGAGTGCCAGGACTGTCTGTGGGATCCTTCTGGGGGCTGCTGCCCCGGGGCATCTCTGCACAAGTTTGCCTACAATGACCAGGGCCAGGTGCGGCTGCGAGCCGGGTTGCCCATCTACGAGTGCAACTCTCGCTGCCGCTGCGGCTATGACTGCCCCAATCGCGTGGTACAGAAGGGCATTCGCTATGACCTCTGCATCTTTCGCACGGATGATGGGCGTGGCTGGGGCGTCCGCACACTGGAGAAGATCCGCAAGAACAGCTTTGTCATGGAGTACGTGGGAGAGGTATGGAGATGGGCTTGTGCGTGTTTGTACAGCTCTTCCCACCGCGTGTTTCCAGTGTGTTTGTGTGCCCTGCTCTCCTCGCTGTGTTTGCCTTCATTTCCCCGTTTTTCCTCCAGTTAAGATCTGGAGCTTTGATAGGAACATTCTGGCAGGGTTAACACTCCAAAGCTGCTATACACAAGTATAGCCATTAAAATACTTCTAGGCTGGGCTGACTTCCTAGGGATCATTAGCAAAGAGGAAAAGGGGGGATTGAAATTCAGGCAGCATCCCTTTCACTGAGCCGTGTGGTCAGGCGCAGAGTTACATCCCCTGAAAAGGCACTTCCCAAAGGTGTCAGCAACCAACCAAGCAGTGTTTTACTCCTTGGTGCAAAAGGAACACCATTGGACTGGAGTAGAATGTCGACATCCTCTGAACAGAGCTTGGACTTGCGCTCCTCTACGGCGCAGGACACTGAGGAAAGGGAAGGTGTACTGTGGCAGGCTGGCCGGTGTAATGAACCACCCCTTAGTGGTTTCTCATTCTAGACGTTGGCTTGCTCGTGTAAGTAGCCAGTGTGTGGGTATTTGGATGGGCACTTAGAGGCCTATTCTGCCTTTGCTGTGTGCTTTAGAGGCTTTGAGTCTGCCACTAGATCTTCAGCATTGCTTGGAAGCTTGGTGAGGACATGGAGGATCAAGGGGAGGTTTGTAATGGATTTGGAGAGAGTGTATCACTTGGCAAGGAAGGCTGGGAAGTTCTCTTTAGCTGTGTGCCAAGAAGGAAAGTAAAGGAGGTTTGGGAAAACAAGTGCCTGCACAGATAGTGTCACGGTCTGAAGTTTTATTTCTCAACAAAGAGGTGGGACATGGTGGGCATTTTGAGTGGGCCAGTCCAGTCCTTTGTTGTCAAGCATGGGGATGGGGAAAGAGGGCATTTAGTTAGCATTCATGGACTTTGCTCACTTCCTGTGTGTGTCCTATCATGGTGAACACCCAAAGCACTTGCATGCATTGCTGTAGGTCCCTTATGGGCCTGGCATGGTTGAGAAGTGACAGGAACCGGTTTAAGGACACGCATACCTGAGGGTCCACACTGAACAACAGAGTAGAAAAAGTCGTACCCCCAAAGGGACAGGGACCATCTAGACTCAGGGCAGTCTGCATTTCACTGATGATCTGGAGGTGGTGATGGCCACACCCCACATATTCCAGACAAGTTCTTGGGCAGTCTGACTAGAAAGGAAATGTCCACATGCTGAATGACCCGGACAGCCTGGATGGAGGACGTGGAGGTGGCCACTCCTAGAGGATTCCTGACAGTATAAAGGAGGAAGAGGTGTCATTAGCAGAAGAGACCCTGAGGCTCTGATGAAACTGAGCTCTCACATTCCTCATGATCCTGGCCGATTGGAGGAGCAGATAGCTAGATTCCCATAGCATTTGGACCACTTCTGTCCTAAAGGGAGTCCAGAAGGGTAGTCATTGTCCTGATAGTCTGTAGGACAGCTCTCTCTAACTAGAACACAGGAGTCTGACATTTGAGTAAGAGAAGAAATCTATTGCCCACGAGCAGCCCCAGAGTCCTCTGGTCCTGCTATTTTTCTGGCTGCTCTTCCTCAGTGTCCTCACTCTACCCTGTACACGTCGGTTTCTAGGGACCCTCCCACTCCCTTTCCTACTCTACCATTTGTTGACCTCCCTCTCCCTCCAATCAGCATTAGTTCCTCTTGATGGTACCATAGACGCCTAGACCCTGCCAGAGTCGGTCTCATCTTCGGCCTCCCCTTCTGAAGAGGCAGTGTAGCAAAGTGGTTGCGAGTGTGGCCCCTGGAGCCAGACTGAGTATGAATCGCAGCTCTACCTCCTATCAGCAGTTATTTAACCTCCTTGTGTGTGGAGTTTCCTAATCTGTAAAATGGGAGCAGTAGTAGCAGCCGCCTCACTCACTTGCTCTAGGAATTGAGTTTTCAGTACAGACACAGCACTTTGAGTGTTCACTTCACTCTACACTTGCCCCCCCAAGCTGTCCTAGAATCTACACGGGGTGTTTGTGTTCATTCCTCTCTACCACCACACCAATAAATGTTCGTTCAACAAATGTTATCTGCTATGGTTCAAAATTCAGAAAACTCAAGATGCCCTGAAAACCAAAAGTTTTTTTATAGCCCCTTTAGCTATAAACAGAAGCCCTGATGCCACTGTCAGGTAAGCAATGGACTGCAAATCATGGTTCAAACCCACCAGCCACTCACTCCGAGGGAGAAAGATGAGGCTGGCTGCCCTCGTAAAGTTTTACAAAGCCTCAGAAGCCCTGTATAGGGTATCACTATGAGTCAGAATTGGCAGTGGGTTGACTATAAAACCCAACATGAACTAATATGAGTCTTTCCTAATCTCATTTCCTGTGGACATTAGTACATTCCACTGTAAAAGTACTTACTTGATGGCCCCATTCCTACTGGGGGTGTTAGGTGGCACAAGGCACCCATTCCCACCCCCTCCCCCATCTGTCCTCCGAGAATCTGCACGGGGTGCTTGTTTTCGTTCCTCTCCACCACCGCACCAACGGTTCCTTCCACTTCTTTGTCCCCTTCCACCTTCTGGTGCCATTCTCATGGGACATTCCCCACCCTCACCCAAAAGAGAGCAATAATTGTGGGTTTTATTGATTCGAAAACATGGCATTTTCTTCATATTTTAACATCTCTGAGATTAAGCAAGTCTTATTTGATTCCTAAAATCATTCTAATTGGCAGTTTTCCCTTTCTTTGTGAAAGACACAGACTAAAGATGCAGCTTAGATTTGCAAACAACTCAACACTGCTCAGTGCCCAAACTAAAGTAAAACAAAACCTGCCCATCCATCATCTTGTTGGATCTTTCCAACAAGTTGGGATTGAATTTGTTGGGATTGTCATCATTGTCCCTTCCTACAGATATGAAAACTGAGCCCCAGAAAGGTGTAATAACTTGCTCAGCTCAGTTACAAAGCTAGGTTAAAAAATAAAGGCCCAAGTGTCTAAAACTGGTGCTCTGCCAGACCTGTTGGGCTTTATTTGTTTTTGCTTGAAGAAGTAGGCACAGAGAATAGACATGTCAGGGTCCCATTCCCAGAAGCTGGTAGAAGAACAACCATGGTCCAAGTCTCACATGCCCTGCTCATGTGAGCACCCTTTCCAAGCTGCCAGCTTCTACCCTGTCTCCCTCAGTGACTAGAGAGCTCCTAGGGAATAGGGACATGGGCTGGTTTGTTCCCGGGTAGACTAGCCATTACAAAATGGGACTGAACAGAAGACAGAGGGAAGAAACAGTTTTGTGCCCTGGAGGCCTCACAGTACGGCTGACTCTTGGGCAAGTAGGGGCAGAACGGGTGGGAAGATGGAGACTGGGAAGGGAGGTGAGGCCATGCCCTTTGAAGTGAGGAAGGGCCAACATTAAACACTTATCTCAGGCTCCACTTAGTGTGCTCATGGTCCCGTGAGTAGCTGACCCATGACCCCAGTGCTTAGTTAAATGTGGCCAGCTGCTAGACCGGTGGAAATTGAGAGGTTCAGGAAAAGGGCTGCATAGAAGTAGCATCTGTCGCTTCAGAGAAGAGTTTGTATTCTTAGGAAGGTGCAAAGAGAGTGACTTTGGCACTCAAGATGCTGCTGTGGCTCCGGTGACCTCTCTCAGGAAAACATTCCCACACAGGTCTGCCATCAGTAGCTGTAGCAGTCACCTCTTCCTTCCACTTTCCCTCAATTTCCAAGCAGTTTACATATCTACAACTTGCACCATGGATCTTTGAGTCCATCTTTTTTTGTCACTGGCTGCGACCCGAGAGCAGGGCAAACCCTGCTCCCTGAGTCTCCACCACTAGACTGTGACCCCTGAGGGCAGGGCCAGGCCTGGCCCCTGTGTCTCCCACTAGATCGACATTGAGGACTAGGACCCAGGCTAGTGTGGGTCTCAATAAAAAAGTTGTTGGATGGGTGAGTGAACAAAGTTTTGAGCCATGGAGGAGCCAGGACCCTCAAGGAATGGAGCTGCAGTGGGGTAGTGAGCCATGTGTCACGAAGGCAAGGTCTCGGGCTTATAAAGGTGCTGGCGATCAGCATTTGGCATGGAGCAGAGGCTGAAGGTGGTGATCTGAGAGGCAGGGAGGAGCCAGTGAGGACACGGCTGGCTAGCCTGTCTCAAGAAAATGAGAGTGGTCAAGACTAGAAGGGACAGACTGGAAAGTAGGAAGAGCGTCTTCTCTGATTGGCATGAGGGCTGCAATAGGGAGGGTTTATGGCCAGAGTTGGTAGTGGAGTTGTGGTTGGCAGTGAGTCTTCAAGGAAGGAAGAGGGAAGAAAGGGTGGAAAGCAGAAAGATGCCTGTAAGACACAGCATGGACTGAGGCTAGGTTGTTGGGCTAGCATAAAACAAACAAATAGCATTTACTCTGTCTACTGTGTGTGTTCTGGTCTGGTCCTGGTCTCTAAGGAGTGGTCAGCAAAGTAGGAGGAAACCTGGGAGAAGAAAAATAGGCCTGCACTGGGGTAACCCAGGCTGAAAGGGAGCCGACTCACAGAAGGACATGGGCGGTCACCAGAATGCTGTAGGAAGAGGAGCTATCAAGTGGAGGAGAGCTTAGGTGGATTGAGGTGACAATCCATGGACAGCATGTGGGTGGGTGGGTGGGTGAGGGTGTAGCAAGGACAGGTTAGGGCTAAGATAGAGAGGTAGCTGCGTGTTTAGAAAGACAGCTAGAGCCCAGGGTGGGGAGGAGGGTGACTGGGAAGACCTGTTCAGGGCTGTCTTATATGCTAGCTGTTGGCAGAAAACGGCCTGTGGACTAAAGGAAGAGCACCCCTGGTACTCCGCCTCTTGTTTCTTTCATTTTCTTGCTCTGTCACTCCGGTCTTTCTGTTAGGGTTGTGGCCTCAGCTTGTCTCAGGAGGGTCTATTAACTCTCTCAGGTTTTGAGCTATTCTTTAGACCCAGGTCTCCCTTGCTAAGATTCTGTCTGTGCTTCTCATCTCATTCTGTCTTTTTCTTCCTGAATCTTTCTCATTCGTTTGGGTCTCTTTCTCCCCTTGCTCTCTACTCTCGGCTGTCCACTCTGCTAGTTCCCGCTCTCACTCTCCTGCCTTGGATCACTGGGGTCTCTGCCTTTCCCCACTCTCAACAGTTCTGTCACACCCCGGAGCTCTTCCTTTTCTGCCTTTGCCCTGGGACTCCCTCACTGTCTCATGATGGGTCTCTCTTTCGTTGTACTTTGACTCTAGACTTTGCTCTCTCTCACATATACTGTAGTGCAGGCTGACTCTTACATACTCAAGTCATTCTCTTGGTTGGTGTCTCTCTGGGTCCTTCTTGCTTGGCCCCAAGGGCACCACAGGCTCTGAGGATCCCAAGGCCATTCTGGCTGGGCAGTAGGAGGTGGACTTTTCTTTAACTGGACCTTTTGGCCAGCTTCCACGAGCTATTCGGAGACTTCCACATGACCATTTAGAAGCCTGAGGAGTGGGCAGGTGGGTGGGGCTGGCCCCATAAGAAGGGCTCATTTCAGTGCCTTCCAGACCCTGTTCGTTGTTACCCAACTCCCACATGTCCTTGTCTTGCGTCATCGTCATGTCCTTGCCCCTCCAGTCTACCACACGGGCTGTGCTGGCCTCTCTGAGACCTTGAAGATAACCTCCCTTCCCCTATGGCCCTTTCCCCAGATCATTACCTCAGAGGAGGCGGAACGGCGGGGCCAGATCTATGACCGCCAGGGCACCACCTACCTCTTCGACCTGGACTATGTGGAGGATGTGTATACCGTCGACGCTGCCTACTACGGCAACATCTCCCACTTTGTCAACCACAGTGTGGGTACCCCCGCAGGTGGGCAGGTGGGGTAGGCTGGGACCCCACCTCACTTTCCTACTGTTCTTTCTTGCCAGTGTGACCCGAACCTGCAGGTATACAACGTCTTCATAGACAACCTTGATGAGCGGCTGCCACGCATTGCTTTCTTTGCCACAAGGACCATCTGGGCAGGCGAGGAGCTCACCTTTGATTACAACATGCAAGGTGGGGGTGGAAGGGATGGAGCGTGGGCACACCATGGCATGGGACAGGAAGACCCTCCCCCAAGGCACACCAGTACCCCAGAAAACCAAGGGAGAAGCTTTAGCTGGAGCTTTAAGATGCTCTTCCTGGCTTCTCAGTCTACCATCTGGATTCCTGGGTCCCTGCTCACCTCCTGGGGCCTCATTCTCAGGCCCTAGAACCAAGTCTGAGACCCTCATACCAGCTTCTCCCGAGGCTTCTTTGGGGGGATGTTTGGGCTCGAGTTAAGATACTCCTCTTGATCCTAGTCTTCTCTCTCAAATGCCCGTGGTCCCAACCCTTCCTCACTCCTAACCCCTTTGGACCTTCCCTTTCCCAAGCCTCTAGTTGCTCCTGTGGCAGCCCCCTCCCGGATAAATTACCTCTGGAACACTCAGAGGAAGATCCTTGGCAGGAGACTTAAGATACTCTTTGGATGCCTACTTGTCCTCCATTCCTGACCTCTGTCCGACAGGCCCTTCTGGTTTCTACTAGATGGACCCTACCATTCTCCTTAACCCCTGGCCTTTTCCCAACATGGGTATACCCTTACCCCAAGCCCCTAATCTTAAGACCCGCTGCTTAACCCAAATCCCAGCCCCAAAGATCTCTGGGTCTCTTGGGGAAAGGGTAGTAGGAAGCTTCACCTAGACATTCTAACAAGTCCTCTCCTGCCCTCCTCCCTCCCTGGCTATAACTTCGCAGTGGACCCCGTGGACATGGAGAGCACCCGCATGGACTCCAACTTTGGCTTGGCTGGGCTCCCTGGCTCCCCCAAGAAGCGGGTCCGTATTGAATGCAAGTGTGGAACTGAATCCTGCCGCAAATACCTCTTCTAGCCCTTAGAAGTCTGAGACCAGGCTGACCGTGAGGGCCTGATGCCTTCTGCCCACATGCCCACTGCTGCCCTCCTGTCAGAGGAATAACTTCTAGGGCCTCCTGCTTGCCGCTGCTTGCCCCCACGTGCTCCCTGCTCAGGGCTGTGGGCTGCGGTAAGGACTGACTCCAGGAGTCCCCTTCTCCCCATTCCAGCCACATCTGTGGGCTGCACTTAAACCCCTTGCCCACCTTCAGAAGTCATTTTTCTACACCAAGACTTTCTATAGTTGAGATCGATGGCTTATCAAGGAGGTCCAACGGGGAGAAATTCCATCCCAGTCCGAGACTAGAAACAATGTTTTTGTTTTTGCACTGCTTCTGCCTGGAGCTAGAGGGGTCTGTTGCAGGCCTCCTCCCTACTGCCCCAGGGGTGTGGGGAGACAACCCCAGAGCAGGCAGATCTAGTCAGGGCTCAGAATTCCCAGACCAACTCACTGGTCTCGGAGCCAGTTTTGTTAGTGAAAGAAAAAGTATTCCCAGGGCTGGGGCCATGGCTGTGATCTCCATGTGCTCACAGTGATGTTCGTGTCGGCTCTGGCAGCTGTGAGAGTACTTCCTTAGTGCCACCTCATCTGAGAAGTGGGTACCCACCTGCCACTGGACTGAGCACTGGGTGTCTGTGATCCACTGACAATTTTCAGTAAGTCAGCCCCACATTGTCTATCCTCTGAGGTGGGGCTGGGGCTGAGCGCTGCCTTAAGAGGGGCCAGGGAAGGCCCCTGGGATCTTAGGACATCTGACAGTGCGGGGAACCCAGAGTTGAGGTGTGATGACCACTGGGTCTACTTGAAGCTGGAACCAGGACCTAGGTAGGCCATAGATAGCACTTAGGATAATAGTGTGCATTGGTAGAGTGCTCGTGAGTGCCAGGCACAAGGCAGAGCACCTGATCCACGTGGATTGTCTCAGGGAAGCCTTGAAAACCACAGAGTTGGATCCCAGGAAAGAGGGCCCGATTGGCAGAAGGGAAAGACCGACTGCCTACAGATATACAGAGCGTTGAGGTTCTGTTGGTTGCATTGCCCCTTGTTTTCCCCATGAGGTTTTCTCTAGGAAGCCCTCCGTGACTATCTATGCCCAGTGTCCCTGCGTGAGGCTGTGTGCAGCTGTGTGCCCTCCCTCCAGATGGCAGATCCATGTCTGTGCGTCCGTCCTCACCCATTCTTACCGTGAGACTGACTGAGACATGGACTGAGTCTGGGTCTCCTGTTTGTATAGGCCTCCCCCTGCCACCACCATGAATCTGGCATCAATAAAGTAACTTGTTTTAACAAACCAAGATGTGGGGTATTGTATACTGTGGGTGAGCAGCTGAGATCTGTGGTTGTCCAGGAACATGTTCTCCAAACCTCAGCCATTGGATGATAATCTCAAGTTCCTGCCACCACAGTGTCACTTGCACCACCATCTATATCACATCTTGACTGAAAATAAACTTGCATAAAGCTTCATTTTAAAAGTTTAAGTTTTAGAGTGCACCAAATATATATAGCAACTCTAACTAAAGGGAAAAAGCATTTGCCACGGCAAAAATAACTAACCAGGAAAATAAGTACGAAAAATGTGATCAGATTTTAGTTGGGCCCTTCTGGCTCTCAGAGGTGGCTCTGGTCTCAAAGCCTGCCTACTGCAGCCAAAGAGAAAAGGTCTATGTGTGCTAAGGAAGCTTTCTGCAGATCCTTGGTGAGTACCCATGTGTGCCAGGGTGGAGGGTGAACAGTCAGGCCATTTCACCTAAAAAGACTGATGTGATGTCATCACCCCTCAGCCTGAGCTACTAGTACCCTAGCTGCTGCTCCCAACTCCTTGCATGCTGTGACAGACACTCAAATATTCCAGAGACCTCACACAGGGGAACCTACTGCCAAACACTTCAGAGACTGACAGACAGACACATAGATACCTCACAACCTCATAGAGCTATACCCTCAGATCTCTCAAAGACACTTGTTCAAAGATCTCATATCTAGTCAAACCCCAAGTACTTCTCAGGCTGCACTCTTAACGATGGCACGCAGGCTACCAACACAGCCCAGAGAGCTCATCTACTGCTTGATACACTGGGGTTCCAACCCCAAACACATCAGTGAGCTTGCCCCAGGAACAGAGATGCCCACAAACATCTCTGACCTCACAGCTGGGGAAAGCCCTACCCAAACTGTGTGGGCCCTTCACACCCTGGTTACTGACATTCAGGCAGCTCAGAGATCTCCCATTCTCGGACAGACCTCCAAGTAGCTAAGAGTTCACATCCTGGACGCTGAGCCCTAAACGATTCCAGAACCTCATACCTTGGGCACGAACCCCCAGAGCTCAGAGACACACTGGGAAAGATGGAGGCTACTGTGTCCTGTGCCATGAACCAATCAGTGTATCAAAACGTGGACACAGAGCCCAAGGGTTTAGAGACCTCGAAGCCTGGAAACAGGCCTGTGAAGAGAGCTCACTCTGCGAAGCAGACCTCTAGACAGTTCTAAAGACTTCACCATTGACACAGTGTAGAGTAAGGACACCTTAAGACAGTGGTTCTCCACCTGTGGATTGCGACCCCGTTGGGGGTCGAGCGACCTCTGAGAAAGGGTCGCCTAAGACCATCGGAAAACACATATTTCCGATGGTCTTACGAACCAAGACACCACTCCTCTATCTGTCTCCAGGTGGGTCCACCCACAGGCAGAGACGCGCACATACCAATACCCAGCATGAAGACTGTTACCCATGCTACACCATGCTTCAAGACAAAATTTCATGTATTTGTCATTAGAAGTAAATATTTCACAATATATAATTACATATTGTTTTTGTGATTAATCACTATGCTTTAATTATGTTCAATTTGTAACGATGAAAATACATCCTGCATATTAGATATTTACCTGACGATTCGTAACAGTAGCAAAGTTACAGTTATGAAGTAGCAACGACAATAATCTATGGTTGGGGGGCTCACCACCACAGGAGGAACTGTATGAAAGGGTCGCAGCATTAGGAAGGTGGAGAACCACGGCCTTAAGACTATGCAACACTTCAGAGACCTGGTGCTTTGTAACCCAGATATGCAGAGTGCAGGCACCTGAAAACCTGAGCACAGACCCCCACAAAGCTGAGGCTTCATCCCCAGTGCGCAGGTCCCGGAATAGATCAGAGACTCCATAACCACAGCTAAGGACCCAGCAACTGCTCAATGGGGGTAACAATAGAGAGTTCACATTCTAGGTCACCAGACTCTGCAGGGAGGGATCTCTTAGCCTGGAGTAGAATCCTAGAGAGCTCAGGACACAGACCTTAAAACAACTCAGTGACCTCCCACCCTAGAAACATTCCAGTCCGGAGACATCATCTACTGGATCCCCTTTCCCCAACAGTCCAGAGGCCACACCTTTTGGTTCACAGGCTCCAGTAGGGCTTGGAGAACTGGCCATCTGGACAAAATCCTCTTGAGGAAATGGCATGGGGGCCATGCCTGACATCCTCTGGCTTTTACTAGGGGGAAGGAGAATCCAACGTCACACCAGCCCAAGGCTGATTCCGATGAGGCAATGATTAGACATCCTTCCCACAGCACTCCACTTCTCTGCTGGGCTTGATAATCCATTGTAATGGCCATATAACTTGGACTGCTCACAGTCATGGGGTTTATAAGGGAAGTTAGCAGGTAATAGCGGGCCAAGATAAGAAAACATTACGGATACGGTCCTTTTGTCTGCAGTGCCTTAGTCACGCTAGCACACATGATCCTCCGCTGCTGTGCCACAAGGCCCCTTAGTCTCTGCCCTGCTTGGGCAGGTGTTACGGAACTCCTTTAGTGAGGATGAATGCCCAAAGGGTCCCCCCCACAGCAAGCCAGCCTTCTTCACGAAGACACTCAGCATTACTCATTCTGAGAGCCAAGAAGCTGGATGCCCGGCCTCCACTACAGGCAGGGGGCTTGAACACACTCACTAGTGGCTCTTTTAGCTTGGTGGTCATGGAACTCTTCTCCTTGCTTCTCTTCTACCCAGAGGAATGGCAAAACTGACTAATCTGAATGAGTGTTACAAAGACCATGGATAGAAGACCCAGAGTAAGTCATTTCACGTCACCACTCCTCTACTTAGCTTAGAAATTTCACTTCCTGTGTTATAGGCCCCAAATCTGAGAAGCCTCATTCAGAACTCAAATCTCCAAATAGCTCCGAATCTTCATACTCTAAATATGGACACTACCTACCCCCGCAATCCCACTGCCAAATGAATATCACATCCTGGCCTCAGATCTCAAGACCATGCCAGGAACTCACACTTTGGACTTATGTCCAGATAAAACTTAAATACCCAACACCCCTGGACACATCCCCAAACCATCTGGAAACCTCACATACTGGGTAAGATCTACCACAGGGGACAGCCTCACAACTGGGATGCAGACTTCAAAACAGCTTAGGAACTCCATTGGTTTCCAAGTAGCTCAGAGAACTTACATCCTATAGTAGACACACAAAAACATGTGTTCCACATGCCCATATGGTTCAAGCACCTCACACGTGGAGATATAACACCCCCCCCCCCGGGAGTTAATTATCTTTACACCCTGAAAAGTAAGCCTACAAACAGGCTAGAGATCACCCATATCAGACATGTGATGACAAGATGGTCTAATTTAACAAACCTTACACCCCTAGGACACAGACTCCCAAACATCGCAGAGGCCTAACAACCTCAGAGACCTAGCATGGACCCCTAAGCACCTGAAAGATGCCGTAAACCAGGCGTCCTCAAACTACGGCCCACAGGCCACATGCGGCCCGCCGAGGACATTTATCTGGCCCACCAGGTGTTTTTGCCCCACTTGTTTTTTAACTTCAAAATAAGATAAGTGCAGTTTGCATAGGAATTTGTTCATAGTTTTTTTTTTAAACTATAGTCTGGCCCTCCAATGGGTCTGAGGGACAGTGAACTGGACTCCTGTTTAAAAAGTTTGAAGACCCCTGCCGCAAACTCACAGAGTTCCAAACCACTTGGAAACCCCAAACACTGGAAAACAACCAATCAAACCCATTGCCAATGAGTTGCTTCCCACTCATAGAACAGAGCCGAACTGCTCCCTGGGGCTTCGGAAGCTGAAATCGTATTCTGCATGCCTAGCCTGAGTGGTAACCATCGATTCTGTTCCTGGATTGCACCCCGTTGCACCTTAAACCATTTCACTGTAAGTAAGGTCTGCGAGTTCTTGTGTGTTTGATGGATTATCAAACACAGAAGAGAAGTAGAGAGTGCCAGGGGAGAGAAGGCTGTTGTCAGAATTAGTTAGAAAATAACACTGAAATGAAAAGGTTGGAGGGTGAAGGCTGTCTGACCTCCACCTCATAGGAATCTGCTTCAAGCGGATAATGACATTACCCCCGCCCCCGAGTTAGATATATTATGAGGTGATCATGACCGTTTTATGTTGGACATTGGGCTCAAAATAGTTCAGAGAGGGACACCCTGAGTACAGACACCTAAAGAGATCAGACACCCTTATATGAGGGTCACAGACACACCACCACCTCCACCCCAAACAGCTCTGACATCTCAGGCTCCTAAATAGTTCAGAGAGGCCCCTTGGAAAGAGTGGGTTTAGGTTCATGTGGGAGCTGAGGGGCCCTCCAGCTACCTGCGTCCTACAGACCCAGCAGTCATGGCAGACAGCACACTGATGCTCACCTATCCTGACCAGAGCCTTGTGTCAGTGATCTCATGGACATGACACGGCACTTCCAGCAACACACAGACAAACAGGAGCCCATGATCACCTGGATCCTGTGGGTGTACCACCAATGGGGCCATGTCCTGTCCCTGACCTTAGGGGAGCTGGCCATCCTGGGCAAAATGTCTAGTGACCAGCAGACCCTGTGGGGTGGTTGCCAGTCACTGCTCACCTGGCTGCTAAGGGCCTGGTGCCAGCAATGGTCATCCTTCCTGGACTTTGAGGCTGGTGAGGTGGCCCCCTGGCCCTGCTGGAGGACGGCATGCAGTTGGTGCACAAGCTGGACATGTTCATTTGGATGTACCAGGACCTGCCTGCCACCATGCAGCACCCCAAGGGCATGCCCTTCACCCATGACCTGCAGAGGCACCTGCTGACAATGGCCCCCGAGGAGCTGTGGCCACCACTTCTTGTCATGGTGGCAGTCAAAGGTCAGCTGGTGAAGTGATGAAGGCATTCCAGATCTTTGAAGAGGAACACGAGAGCCAGCCCTGCTGCCCCAGGTCCTGCTGGAGCCCAGGCTTCGGCTGGCCATTGGGAAGCCCGGG